TGGAATCATCAGTGTATGTAGGGATTATTTTCTTTAAGCCAATTGGTGGCATTGATTAAGGAGTTGTTAAACCAAAGAGGAATTTCAGATTGAGTAGTGGATGATGATGCAAGGTAAGCGCCCAATAAACCCGAGTATAAATTCAAAGAATTATAATTTTGCAAGTAATTCATAGATCCCACTAGTGTTCTGTATTCAGAGAAGGGGTTGGCTCTCGGTGTTCGGCCTAGAGAACAGTGAAGAAAGATAAGAGATAAGTGTTTACGTGATCTTAATGGTACTAGTTCAATTTCAGTTGGAATTGGACGTAAGTACGGCGGGTAGTTGCGTGTTGTGTTTGATTTGCATGAGGGATATATAGCAATATGGTTGGTAGGTGGTACGGGATTTGTAATCAATGGTACATAATTTTCAAGTGGGTAAGAAATGTTAGGATTCCGGTGAATCCACATCGATTTTTCTGGATACATGAGTTTGGAGCAAATGGAACAGAGAATATACAGAAATTGACATAGAATGGTATTTTCAAATTTATCTATCAATTCCTGCATTTTTTCTGAAATAATCCACGAAGACATTTCCGGATGAGATAGATTATTGAATTGAATATCGTTTTAGTCTGAATACCATGAGTTGTTATTATTAGAGGAAGTCAAATCAATTATTTCTTTATTGTATTCTAGGGGTTTGATTTCAAGAATATCATGTACAAGGGGTGTGGAACTTAGTGTAGTTGGTAAGTTGTCGCACCCCCAAGCGGCAGGACAAGAGTTCGAATCCCACTGACGATGAAATTCGAATTTGTGAAAATGCGTTACGGTAAAACTGTATGACATATTGATCGGGTAAGCACCTGTGACTTTGGTCTCACCAACTCGTATTGGGAGGTTGTGGAACATAGTATGACGTATAAGTTACACGAAATCTGAGTGAAGCAGCCAAATAAATCCAAAGGATCGGGGATATAGAAGCCCGCTTGGGAAGTCCCGAGTAGAGAGGTAGCACAGATCTTCGATAGCGTTATCTAAAGGATTATCATCTGGGAACCGGACATCGTAGGCAAACTGAACGAGGACCGAGTGTCTGGCAAGCACTACACCAACCAGGTCGCTGGATCAGCTGAAGGAAAAAGGATTCATTCAGAATACCAGGGGACGCCCACTGGTCCCTCCCGGGCCATCTGGATTGGGAGTTTGGGGCATCGATGGTTGGCATCAAAGTACTGTTGATAGTCCGTAAAGTAGGTGCTGGGGTTTGAGTGAACTTTGCAAGGGCACAGAGTAGGTAATGGTAGCGGAGGTAAAAAGCCGCAAGTACTTGGTCGCGGC